GAATCGCAACAAGTTGCAAGTAGCTTTTCATCTGTGCGCTGTAGTTCGTCTGGAAGAACTGAAAAAAGGCCTCATAAGAATATACAACACGTTAATTGCATTTGCCCTTAACTCTTTCGTGAAAGCATACGGGTTGAATGAAGCCATCATTGTACATTATAGTGCCCCAGCTAAAGTAACCAACGGTGAGATGTACCTTCTGCGATGCCCACGTCGCTACTGTCCCTGTAAGACAAATGCCGGAGTCAATTTACAAACAGAATAAAAGCTCGTTCTGAGTGATCAAGCGGATTCGCTAATTACATGCACGGCGTCGCGATTGGCCGAAATTTCGTTCCGAGAACGGTTCTAGAGCAAAGGAGTTTGTGTGAATAAGTATCGTGGACCCTGTGTGGACACTCTCTAAAATATACAAATGCAAAAAAAAAAAAAACGTCGCAAATTCGTACCATCGGTTCAACGGGCATAACACACTTTTTTTTTTCAAAGTTCGTGTAAGTGGAAACTGAGTCTGTACATTCAAGGAGCCCCTTAATACTATTCGATAACCTTTTCTTGGGCACAGACAATTTTGTGAGTGCTATTAAATACATTTACTTGCAGCCGGCGCATCGCAACAAAGCGGCAAGGAGTAGAAAAAAAAATGGCGGCGTGATCACGTGGTAAACTAAAGTATCGATAAATGCTTCATGACGTCACAGAGAGAACGGTGGAGCAGGAAGCTCGTTTACGCATGCGCTCTTTTCTATATTTGGTCCTGCTGGCGACAATTGCACGCTTCCGGCCTCCGCCACAAGTTAAGACACCGCACATACACGCACACATACACACATCACAATGCCTCATTAATCCTGTGTGCGAGAAAAGGAAACAGCTGAGGCTCCAGGGTAAGGTGTGGAGAGAGCATAACCTTGACGTGTCTCAAGGTCACAGAGTCCTTCGAAGCGTGTTACCTGCTATGCAAAAATTGTCGCTTGGAAACAGAAGAGATGCTTAGAGGCAGAATGGAATGTAGGTTGAAGGCAAGTGAGGTTAGGGTAATCCAAAGCGGCAATCATTGCAGCCCGAGTTTCGCCGATATTATTTGCTTAGTCAGGGTCGCAATCGCTTAACTAACCAATTAAGTCATCGAAACAGGCATCCCACTGCAGCCCATGTTCAAGGTTGCTTGTTTCGTTAGAGTAGCGACTGCTGTATTAACTTGAAAAGGTGATATCAGCAGCAATGGGGCGTTATTCCAGCACTGCTGTGCGTTGTCGTCTTTACAAAAACTGATACGTTGGAAATTTTGAGACGTAGAGGGTAGAGTTGTAAACATATTTGCATTTTTGATTGGCAAACACTTGCTGTTTACTATAGACGAATCCGATGCACCGACTATCGTGTCGGTGCGTACTATAACTGCAGTACTGCATCGCTAGATTTTAGTATGTGTTGAGCAGACAACATGATTTGAAGGACTCTGATCACACCTCCCGCTTAGAACCAGAAAATAAAAAAGAACATCACATGTAAAACGATCACGCGAGTTTTTATCAGGGGAACCGGATGTAGACAAGTCATTTCACGAGTCTCCATCTACGACATCATGAGTCGCCGAGCCAAATGAAACTACGGTATGTTGCTTTGCGTCTTTCAGTCCAACACCCATACAGTAGGTTGTGGCATTTGACTGCATAACTCTAGCGCACCCAGTAACACTAGCATCAACTACCGCATAACTCCTGCGGAACCACTGACGTTTTAGCTGCGTCACTCAAATAGTTTGATGTGGTGTCCCATCAAATTTTCGTTTCGTTTCACTTTATCTGATAGTTTTGACTAGGATCACATGCTACACTAGGTATACACACCAAAATAGTTAGTACATAAAAAAAAAAGAGTTTCTACGGTGGGAAACCAAACCTGGAATGTGATATGTGAAACAGAGCCTTGGTAATGCTCCTATGCTACAGGCCTTCCTGCCGAGTCGATATGGTAGATAACGCACTTTAAAATATTATCACACGTAATGTGGTTGATATGACTTAGAGATGTAAATATAATCTTAGAACTCCGAGCAGCCGCTGCTAAAGTTTTGTAGTAGCTATTCAAAGCCTAACAAGAGCGTCCAGATAGTTAAGACTACTCGCTCGAAACCCGTGGAGGAATATCTGTGCTTATCATCTTACGAATCTGTTCTTGTTGGGGTAATTCTTATGCATTCACAAATAATTCTAAACACCGGGTGATGTAAGCGAATTTCCGCACCTTCAAAAGTGAAGCGAATAACAAGAAAACGTTTAGATATGTCAATCTTGTTTGCCTTCTGAATTCAGTTTTTCCTAAAGTAAAAGCTCGCCTCAAAGATTATTTAGTGACAATGATAACGGAAACCGGCTATGTTTTCAGATAAACCCAAATCCAGATTATACTAAGCGGCCTGAGCTTCAGTTGCCACAGTTACGTACACAAACCTTAAGATTCTTTGAGAAGTAAGTATACAAGAGACTGCAGCATATGCAAAGTGCGTCAAATTAGCATTAAAACAAGTTTTTGAAAAGTTACAAAGTCACTGTAGATAGACAAAAACTTGCGTTTTTGTTTTCCGAAACATTTTTTTTCTTCGTACCGAAATTTCGCGTATCAATATTCACGTCCTAAAAAAGGACTAGATCCACTTGCAAATATGCCCAAATACTGTTGCATGACAAAACATCTCATCAACAGAATTTTTTTCATAGCTTTTACCAGCATTTTTTAACCAGAGATCATTGGTTTTGTACTTTCAATCAGCAACTGACGCGCTGCTTTTCGAAATGATATCGTAAATTGAGTACATTGCAAAGTGACTAGGTTCAACTATGTGCACCAGTAAAAAAAAAACGTACAAAAATTGGGAGGCCACCAATACAACCAAGTGGCACTCACCTGACACCACGACACAACCTGGGTAAAAAAGAAATCTTCCCAAATTAAGAGAGCGACTTTGATATGACAATTCTTAAAATACCGCTCAACAGGTATTTCTTTGTAAGAGTGGTTACAATGGAATGTTTTAAACGACAACAATAAAATCTTCAGTGTCTGATATGACTATTGTCAAAGAACAACAAAAACATATCCGCAGTGGCTTAAAGGTACACCAGATTAACTCTGGCAATAGGAGAGATTTTCGAGCACCCACAACTACACCAGAGACTGGACAGGTTATCAGTGTGAACGCTGGTGCGATCAACAAAAAATCAAAGTCGCACAGCACTATAGCGTAAGGACTTACAGTTCACAGCACAATGTACATCCATCCATCGTCACAATCGCTTAAATAACACATCTGTAAGTCCCGATAGTGCCTTTTTCTAAATTAGAACACCACACCCACAAGTACGCGTACCTTTCAACCACCGGTTACACCTCGTTGCTTCAGACACGCGAAGAGATAAAGAAAGTGACGTGCACACACTGGCCGTGAAAATATGACGCTTGAGTGAGAAACGCGAGACGGACTTTTCACCTCTTCAGACCCTGACAGTCACGACGGAGCTCGCGTGTATGTGATAATCTGGAGAATGCTATCCGTGATAAGGCTTCCTCCCCACCTCCATTTAATGTACAAGTTTACGCCGTAAAGTTCAAAGTTTCTTCGTAAACTTGACACAAAAGAGTCGTTCATGAGTTAACAAAGCTGCACTGGAAGCTGGCTGGCAGGATTTCGCGAGTTTGGCGCAATGTGTCGCGTAAAGCGTTTGCCGATCACAGAGAATAGTAACTTGCTACTCCGCCTGACTTTCTGTGCCTCGCGTTTAGCTGCACGAAACCACTTTGCAAGTGTCGCGGTAGAACTTTAGGGGTTCGTGTTTTTTTTAGGCAAGCTGTGTTCAGGACTGCGGCCTTGGCGATTATATCCGGTGACGCTCGCTTCTGGAGCTAATCTCGGAGGCCACGCCAGGACAGCCGTGCTTCCGCGAATGTTACCGTTTGATTACACACATTGCACGCACTTGCATTTGCACGAGGAAGTTTTGAACATGCCGCTTCAAACAGACCTGTCACGGTAATCCCAATAATGTGCCTTGTAAATAACACAGAAAGCGTATGCCACGGCTAAACATAGGTGGGTCCTGGCGCAGCCGCACATCTAAACAGGTTCAGTACCCATGCGGAAGCCCGTCAGAGTAACATAATAGAAGTGTTATAAGAAGTTCGAGCAGTGCACCAAGCTATCTGCCCTGTATCCGAAACGCTGATATTCGGATAACTCCATATCAAACTTTACATTGGCCGTTAGACGCTGACGTCACTACCGTAAAAAAGTGTGTATGAACAAATTCGAGAAAAGGAGCAGAAAAGCCTGCCCGCCACCTTTTCGTCCAGCTTCCAGGTTATCTTTACCGCTGCGAGATATGTCGACAAAATAGCGAGATAATAAAAAGACACGTCGAAACTGTACAGAGTATACAAGAGAGAGTCTTTTTTTTTGTTGACTAGATGCCTCGAGATATGCTGGGTGAAAGATATGTCTTTCTCCTATCATCACGTCCAAACCTATCACACTGCCCTTATGCGTTGTAAAATATCGCCACGAGTACGAAGCTGCGATACCGGCGCTGTCAGGGAGGACTGTTGCCAAGGCTTGTTATCTCCAGAATGTGGACAATGAAGGCAGTGCTCACGATATTTCTTTTTTCTCTACAAAGCCAGATCACTGGTTATCTGTACAGGTTGTGAGCCGAGCTGATGACATCACAATGAACAATTCTTCGGGAAGTCGCACCACGGTGCATGGTACGGTCCCGGTAGGCAACGGAATGATCTGACCAGTCGTTTAGGACTTGAGATTGCGCTCGACCCGGATGACGTTCAGGCATCAAAACCAGCTTTCCTGCCGTGCTTGGTCGACACCACCACAACGTATGCCACACTAACCGAAACGTAACGACCTAGTCAACATATAAAGTGCGGTTAATACCTTTGCAATGATTCGTGACCACAGGCTACAAGTACGAAAACGTACACACCAAGTGGTGTGTACGCCCACTCCTAAAGCAGAAAAAAAACCTTGATAACTTTTAAAGGGAGAAACAAAAAGAACATACAACAAATGGAATGCAAAGCAAACAACGACAGCAACAACAATCAAACGACTAACTCGCCATTCCATCCTCGGCAAGTAAAGAAGAGTGACTTAGAAAAACTGGTGAGTCCGTGAAGCGATGGCGGCGAGTCGGCACATCACCGTACCTGAGAACCACGATAACCAGTGGCCCTTACAGACATTAAGCTTGGTGCGCCTGGCGCCTGAACAGATCGCACCGATGGCTCTTCCTTGTCAGCTGCTGAAATGTCACAAACGTTTCAGCTGTCGTGGACTGAAGTTCACGCACTGCGAACTCGTCAAGACGAGAAGACTAAACGTCGCCAAGAACAGGCTGGCAAAATCAAAAAAGTAACGCCTTTGTCCGGTCATTTGTACACAAGATGGTCATCCTGGATACCAGGCTTCTATCTCTGTGGCAAAACTTGTTGCCTTTGCTTCTGGCCAAGCTTAGTTCTGCTGTAGGAGCAGCTGTTCAAGTTCGTCGGCGGACCGTAGCAGGAAGGCGGCCGACTCTCGGTATCCCGCTATGAGCTGCTTGACGGCGTTCACCTCTGCTGGGTTGAGCGAGTACTTCAACGCCATCGCCGGCCTGCTGTCGACGCCATTACCGACGCACTTCTTGACGCTCAAGTCCGTCGGACTGTTGTTGTTGTTGTTGCCGCTACAGGACGACGACGAGACGCTCGTCCCTCCCAGACTTCCGGGGTGCCTGTGGTGCACGTGATAGTGGTGGCCATTGGCTGCTGACGTCACGGTCAGCCCGACGCCATTGGTGGCCGAGCCGTTGTTGTTGAAGCACTTGTGGTGGTGGTGGGTGTGCGGAGTGTGCGGGCTCGCCGCCCCCGCGACTACGCCGTTCATAAAGCTGTTGACCGGCGAGGAGGATGAAGAGGAGGATGTCACCGTACCGGGAGACATGAGGATGCCGTTTGACGTCACCGAATGGCTTGCAGAAGTTGCCACGCCGAAGTGCTGGTGGAACTGCTGCTGCTGCTGATGGTGGTGGTGCATGTGGAAGGGGCACACGGAGGCCACATCCACGCCCGAAGTGGTCATGCTGCTGCTCGCAGCGGCCGTCAGTGGTGTGGGGCCACCGGTGATGCCTGAAGAGAGGCTTGTGGACAGCAGACCGTTCGTGGTCGAAGCGTTGCTGCTGACGATGGGAGCCGTCAACCGGCTAATGAGCTGGCTGCTCATGTTGTTGCTCATCGACACGGTGCTGCTGTTCACCGACAGAGACGCCGGCACGCCGAGCACGGTGCTGGCACCGTTGGATCCGCCCACACCGACAGTCACGTGGTAGCCGGGGGTCGTAGAACGGCCTGGAATATCCAGCTCCATCTGGAGGGGAGACAAAAGAACGAACACGTGGAAATTAGCAGCGAGTTTGTTGGACATAGCAAATATTGTCAATCATCATAATGACATCATTATTAGCCCGTCTTACGTCCAGTGCCGGACGAAGGCCTCTGCCAGTTGTGATGATGTTGCGATGTCCTTCATCTGCTGACATTCTTCACAACGGGGGCGAAGGATCCTTCAAGCCGTCATTATGGCTTTTAACTCCGTCTCCTGTTACACTGTACTGTGACGAATCAAATAAATCAATCAAGAAATCAATCTCCAACCCACCCTGCCCAACGCGAGCTCGTTCCATTTTAAGCCAGCGAAGCTATTCATTTCGTCGCTCCATTGAAGTCAGCCGCAGTGGTCCGCTGCGCTTCCATCTCCTTGAATCCAAGCAGAATACTAAACAGTGCGAACACACCCTGCGGTTCTTTTCTTGGTACCGTGTTAGCGTTACTTAATTATGTGCTGTTTTACAAGTATACATCAGCGCTAGCTACCTGTCGAGCATCGAGCTAAACTTAGCTGCGTGTCAAAGTGATTAAAAAAAAAAAGGAGCTCCATTTCAGGTCTGGTGGTCCCATGCCGCCAGTTTCCTACTGTGTGGGTTCCCTCCCAGGCGACTATGCAGTTCGTTCTGCTAAGCACCAGGTCGGAAGTGCACTTCTTCAGAAAATATACCCCACCTACGACGGTTTGGGATAGTGGCGTGCTTCAACCCACCACAGTGCACCCGATAGGACCCACCACGGGATTCCGGCCGCCGTGACTACCGGGAATCCAACACCAGGCTAAACTCATAATGCAGAAGTACTGAACATCGCAGCCACCAGCTCGGGTCAAGGAACTAACGTAGAGCAGTTTTAGCAACAAAGTTCTGGCATGGGCTCTCCCTGGATATTTTTGGCGGCGGGAAACTACCAGGGACTTCAGCTTCCACCTTATGGTCAGTAAAGTTGTGGCTCTGGCTAGCTAGTACTGCATGATCTATAGCGTAATAGAGCAGAAACATGCGGTCTTACGGTTGCGCAAGCCTACTGCGTCACTAACCTTGTTTGGTACTAGCGTCATTTCGCAAGAAGTCTCCCAGGCTTGCAAAACGCCACAGATTGTGCGTTTCACTTCACTACGGATAACCCCCGACCCTCTACAGCTTAGTGAGATCGCTAGAGATCAATAGCGTGGAAAAAGAGAAAGAAATGAAGACCTAGGTTCTTTTACAACTGAATGGAAGGTGGAGGCGGAAATGTCGTAGGCCCGTGTGCTCAGATTTGGGTGCACGTTAAAGAACCCCAGGTAGTCAAAATTTCCGGAGCCCTCCACTACGGCGTCTCTCATAATCATATGGTGGTTTTGGGACGTTAAACCCCACAAATCAATCAAATCAATCGACTGAATGGAAGGTATGAGCCTGAAGAGAAAGGTGAACAAGAACAACAATGAAAGAAATGAGCACGAAGATGAGCGTATCATTCTGGCAATACAAAAAAAAAAAAAAACTCGCCATATCCACGAAGTCAATAATGAGGAGTGGGCAAAGCTCCGGAGGTAAATCTTGGGAAACCGTGAATCAATTAGCGGCGGAAACTGCGATCTGAGAAATCGCGCTTGAACCGCGCATCGGCGCCACCAACCTCGGACGAAGACAGCTTTAGGTGCTTGGCTGCTGCTTCCCGTGCCCGCACCGTCTCAGGATCCGCTCGTCGCCGCTTCCGCGCCGCTTCCGCTTCGCGGTCCCCCGTCTCCGGGTATACGCTTCTCGGCGAGCCCGTGTCGCCTCTGGATCGCTGGTTCGTGCCAGCTGCCGGCGCAGGCGTCCCACTTCGGCTTCACCAGTTCTCACATCCGGGTCTCGACGGCGATCCCGCGCTGCAGCCGCTTTTCACGACCTCCGCTCCGCCTCCGCCTTGCCTTCTTCGTTGTTCGTAGTAGTAGTAGTAGTATCGCAGCGCTTCGAGTGACGACCGTCGTAACAAGGCGTGTCCACGAAGTAAATGATGACGATGATGATGATTCCACAGCCATGGCTCGTACCCACTCAGGGGGGTCGGCCAAGAATCGATGACTTAATTCGGTGAGACTTTTTTTGCCGAGCACCAGTTCAAAAGCGGGTGATGATGATGTTCATCATGATCTTCAATGTCATCAGCGTCATTGCCATGGCATGTAGTGGGTACCTTGCGTGTGCTGTGAAAGCGCTTGTTCATCAGCATCATCGTCAGCGGCAGCTACGGCGCGAAACGCCAACGAACATGCCTAGACGTTAAGGAGCATCGCCCCTAAGATTACGAGACGATTTCGGTTCTTGACTTGAGTGTCTCCAAGAGGAACTCGCACCTTCGTCATTGTAAGCCCTGGCATATGCATTAGATTAACCTTGTGTTAGGTCGCACTGCCGAAGCTGATCTCGGAGGCCATGGAGAAAGAGGCGCGTCGTTGACATCTGATCCGCCAGGTGTCCCAATGATCTTAACTGCTCGCAGTGCTGGCTCCACCACTCGAGCTCCACTTAGAATCAATCAATAAAATTTATTCTGACGACTCCTTTTAAAGAAAGTAAATAAATTTCTATTCTGAAAATGAATTGTCCACGGCACCAGAGTACTGACCCCAGACAGAGAAGACTCGCTCACTGAGAAAGGGAGAAAACCCACCGGCAGCGGTTGCAACCCGAGCCTCATCCTTTTGGCGTTGTTGGTTTCGTTTTCGCACGCTGACGCCAGGATCTGCTCGGCAAGCGGTGACGTCAGGTGGGGGACGGCCGTGCGACCCTACATTCCGCAGAATAGAAAGAGAAGGAAAGAGAAAGGTCACGAGGCTATCCTTCGTTTGATGCACGGACTTTCTAGACTAATCAATGACGTCGTCATTAAGGCACCTGCAATTAGCCAGACTTTATTCATTGATCTGCGATGTGTAGGATTCTACGAATGCGGATATTTACGCAACTCGAGCGCTGTAAGCCCGAAGCTAAATTAAGGTACGTGCACACTGGCACGCCGCAATGGCATCGCACCCCCGTCACACTGGATGTTTCGTTGTCATTCGAATGAAATGACATTCGCATCTATTTACACTGGGCGGCTGCCGCACAGAGATATACAATGCTATTAGAATTGAATGACCCAGGCATACAGACACCATAACTTAGTCAATTGAATGAGTTCGAGAAGCACATTCGCCATCGCAGTCGAAGCGAATGTAGACTCTCTACCCCAGGAATTATTTAAACGATAGCATTCTCAATTTCACCTGCACTCATGGAACCGCGATAATTAACGCAGAATTTTTAGACATCTCTCACTATTACGAGGTCAGATGTACGGAAGGCTGTGCCAAAATCTTTTTTATTCTCCACTTCAGCGGCGCCTGGCCGCAATCGCTGGCCGCCATAATGTAAACAAGCAGATGACTCTGCGCACGTGGTTGCATGCATTTCCGACGATGGCATCAAGGGAGCTATTTTTTTTTAAATCTCACGACCAAGTCTCTTTTTCTGGCTTAAAGAGCCGGTGAACAAAGCGCATACTCGACGCACGCATGCTGAAACGCTCGACGACCGCTAATGTCAGTAACGATGGGACTGACTGAAACTGGTCCGCGCGGGCACAAAGCGCGCCGGTGCCGATCCGTCGCGCACGTAAAGTCGGCTTCGCCTTGTGAAACTAACCGATTGCCGTTACTTTGCACCACGTGACGGCCCCCACCGAATAGTGGCTCGGGTGGTGCAAGGAAAAGGTATGCGCAACTTTGCTACCTGAATGTGCCATGTGCAATAACTCTAGGGCGAAATTGACACAAGCGCCATCTCGCGAGTGGTGAGTCGGATGCGCGGGAAAAGGTCGCGCCCTCATTGTGTTCTTATCTTTACACATTTATGTTCCAGCCGAGTTGTACGTAATTAAAATTTCTTCACACAGGAAAAGAAACACTGAGAGGAACGAAACAAAACGTTTGCCGCCGTGTTCAGAACAAGAACGGTAACTCATTATAACGAGCACTGCTATCCACGATTTGCCCGTCGCGGTGGTCTAGGGGTCGTGGCGCTCGACTGCTAATTCGAAGGTCACGGGATCGAATCCCGGTGGTGGCGGCTGCATTTTCAATGTAGGCGAAGATGTCCTAGGCCCGGGTGCTTAGGTTTAGGCGCACGTAAAGAAACCCCAGCTGGTCGAAATTTCCGGAGCCCTCCACTGAAGGGCGGTCTCTCGTAGTGATATCGTGGTTTCGGGACGCTAAACTCCAGATATTACACTTTCCACGATTTATGTAGGTGACTCGCTCGCTGTATTTCGTACCGACCGGTTGTGCCCTCGCGATCTCCGACGACAGCGCAGCTCTGGCCGAACGGATTCGCGCTACGCCATCTCCTGACACCGACAAGAGCTCTCGTCGAGTGGCGCCCCGTCCTCGGACTGTTGCGACCCAGTCCGTCTTTTCTATCTTCTCTTTATATCCGTCGCTCGCTGTCCCTGCGCCTCGCTCTGTCCTTCCTCTCTCTAGAGTTGGTATGTTGGTAAGACATAGTTGATCGACGTAGCGCATTTAGAAACATAGGACAAGGGAAGGAACAGAAGGGAGCGCTTCTGTCCCTTCCCTTGTCCCTTCCCTTCTGTCCCTTCCCTTGTCCCTTAAGCACTCCCTTCTGTCCTTTCCCTTGTCCTATGTTTCTAAATGCGCTACGTCGATCAACTATTCCTCTCTCTATATATATACCTTTTAATCCTATCCTTTTAATCCCTCCTTACCCGCATCCCTTGTGAGCTACTGTTGAGGTGTCGCACCTAATGCAGACAGTTACGGAGCTCCCCTTTTCTCTTCTGTTCCCTTTGAGAACCGCATAAGAAAGCAAGATTTATGTAAAATCGTTCGTACACTCACGTCCCAGCCGTTGAGATCGCGGGTGCGCTTGGTCCGGCGGCAGGACTTGAGGTAGGTGCGGATGCGTTTGCGGGCTCGCTCGGCGAACTCCGGGAACTGTCGGCTGCACGAGTCGATGATGGCCTGGATCTTCTCCTTGGGCTGCCGGGAGATGGGAACCATGCGGTCCAGGTTCTCGTCCACGAACAGCCGCACAAACATCTGGGCATTAACAAAAAAATCGCGGCATATTCCCGAAGTTTTTATCAATTATTTATTAAGTACCTGCTTCGCCATGAGGCATTACAGCAGGGAGGGCACAGTACATATGATCAAACAGATAAAACACATTCCTAAAGCATGGAAAAAATCGCTTGAATCAATAGAGAATATATCCGGTGGCAGAGTGTTCCATTCTCTTATAGTGGGCGAAGCAGTGTGATCGTTTGGTGTAACATCGATCACCCGTGACGTTGAGCACTCACACGTGTAAATGAGCGCCATAGGGGAGTACACTTAGATACAATATTTATTGATTATAAATATTGTGCTGCGTTGAGATGCGAATTTCGTTTTGCCTTCATTATTACTGCTTTGTGGTCTTGTATCTAAGCTGAAGTAGACAAAGATGAGGTCTGTGCACGTTGTCCTGGTGGCTGTTGGTTGTTTCTAGTCATACTAAATTCATCCTAGAGTGCATAGAGACGTCATATACTGCACAAGTCCGTCGTCGACCGTTATCATCATTCTGCACCAGACGTAGCTTTACACTTCCAGCATCGGAGGGAGTGGAAGCTCCCTTCACAAGACGTAGTTTGGCACTTCCATGATTGGATGCATTTCAAACTTTCTGCACCAGACCTAGTTTTGCACTTCTTCCAGGATCAGAGGAAGTGCAATCCTCCTGCACCAGACGTAGTTTGCCGCTTCTATGATACGAGGGATTTCAAGCTTTCCGCACCAGAGGTAGTTTTCATTTCTTTCAGTTTCAGAGGGAGTGCAAGCTTCCTGCACGCAACGTCGTTTTGCATATTGATGATCGGATGGATTTCAAGCTTTCTGCACCAGACGTAGTTTTGCACTTCTTCCAGGATCAAAGGGAGTGCAAACTTCCTGCACCAGACGTCGTTTAACATAATCCACGATCAGAGGGATTTCAAGCCTTCTGTACCAGACATAGTTTTGAACTTGTTTCAGAATCGGAGGGATTTCAAGCTTTTTGCACCAGACGTAGTTTTGCACTTCTTCCAGGATCGGACGCATTAAAAGCTTTTTGCACTTCACATGCCTCTGGGATCAAGCCACCTGTATTCAAACGACGTTTTAATGACATCATCATGTGACGGTACGTATAACGTGACATTATGGCAACATCACCGAGGCTTCACAACTTCAAACAATTTGTGACGCTGTCGCATGACGGCTTTTTGCATCACTCGTACTGAAGCCGACGCCTACGGTCAATCCTGAGGTTTTAGCGTTAGCGAATACTCACATTGAAGGCCTTGAGGCGCTCGGGGTCGTAGGAGCTGATGTCTAGCTTGTCCTGTTCATCGTCATCGTCTTCCTCGTCTTCGTCCTTTGTGCCAGCCGACAGATCGTCCGGCTCGGCGGTCGCAGGACTCTGCAAATGATAGCAAGTAGTGCGTGGGTCAGAACCAGACGGCACAAAATTGAAGGACCGGTCCGACATCATCGCTAAATAGACTGGACACCTCACGACTGCTCTTCCCACTGCTCACTGCATTAACGCGGTAATTTCCGAGAATACCATGGCAGCACATGACTACATCAAACCACTAAAAGTCGATCAATCAATCAATCAATCAATCAATCAATCAATCAATCAATTGGAAGTTCTGGTCTGTGTAACATTTTCAGCAGGGTGACTTCCAAAAAACTCAGGTCGACACTTGATTTACAAAAGCCATGACAATCAATAAATCAATGAACCAATCAATCAATCAATCAATCAACCAATCAATCAACCAATCAAACAATTGGAAGTGCTGGTCTGTGTAACATTTTCAGCAAGGTGACTTCCGAGAAACTCAGGTTGACACTTGACTTACAAAAGCCATGACAATCAATCAATCAATCAATCAATCAATAAAATCACCTGTCCTCGATCAGCGAAGCTGTGCTCGGCCGCCATAGACCCTCCGCTGAGAGTAAATCCGGAGCCTCCGGGAAGCGACGTCATTGCTGTCGTCTTGGAAGTCATGTTGAGTGGCTGCTGGATGTCCATGGGCTCGTCCGCGCAGGACCGCCGGCTAGCCGACGCGAAGGCGATCCAGCGGCGATCCTCGCGGACGAGCCAGTGGCGACGTTCTCGGACGGCGGTCGCGGCGACCTGGTCGAGGCGGCGGCGGCGTCGGCAGCCATGTGCGCGTCTGACGTCTCCTTGGAGGTGTTGTCTAGAACGCCCGCGTCGGGACTCGCCTCTTCATCGTCTTCGTAGTTTGGCGTAGCCTCATCGTCGCTCAGCTCGTCGCTACCAAGCGTTGAGTCCTGCGTCATGATCATCATTGATTTTGTTACTGTCCGCCTATTAGTCATACTTGTGATTATTCGTACAATTGGCGTACTCTATCCCGAAAGATTGGTCATCACTTGAAAATTACCCTGCTTAAGAAAAGTATTTACCTTGCTGAAGGAATAAGTATACATTTTATTTGAGTCAGAACACTTTAACTATATGTTCAAGTAAAATTGAGAAAAACCAGCATTGGTATATGCTGCACTGCACGGTTTCATATATATATTCTCCCCTGCTTTCTTATTACTGAGATCTAACAGAATATAATGCCAAGGAATGTATAGGGGAAGTTATTAGAAGCAATGTAAAGTAAATAAGAAGAAAGAAAAGTGAGTGAAAAAATAACCTGCCGTGAGCAGGATTCGAACCTACGACCTTCGAATAACGCGTTCGATACACTTCTTTCCTTTATATATATATATATATATATATATATATATATATATATATATATATATATATATATATATATATATATATATATATATATATATATATATATATATTAGATAGATAGATACGAATACATATAGGGTGAATGACGGTGGCAAAAAACCACGCAAAACCATTCATATAATTGCTATCGCAATAAAAAGAATGGCAAAAGATTTCGAAAACGACTTGCGAAAGGACAACGACCGGCCGAGAAACAGACCTCCGCCGAACGAAATATATTCGCTTCCGAATTCGCACTCTTATTATTTTTTTTTGCGTCGACATTCATAGCTTGTTTCACGCTAGAAGTTCCGACCACCGCCACCATGTTTCTCGCTTCTTCACTCGGCACCGGCTGGCTGAGAAGCCGAAGAGAAAGCTCGCAGCGAGAGAGTGGGGCGTTCGCGGCTACGTAAACAAACAATACGTCACAGAGATAAAGAGCAACGGGCCAACGAAAAATAACGAGGAAATCGGGGAGAAGAAATAACAGCTCGAAAAGGAGTCGGGAGGCGTGGGGGAGCCCTATGAAACGACGTCCATAAGAGAGCACCCGAAAAAAAAACGGGAACAGCTTGTTTTCCCTTTCTTTCCCCTACGCTCCCCTTTTCCTTCCTCTCCCCTTCTCTTTGCGGGCCTGTCTCCTTTCCCTTTGCGTCCAGTCGTTCTCCTCTCTATCCCGCTTGTGCAGGGCTGTCACCGAGTGGCCGAGGACACACATGGATAGCGAAGCAACGCGTGGATTCTGCTACAAGCGCGACCAACGCGAAGAGAGACGGAAAGTTGGAGGGGGAGAGATAGAGGGGGAAGGAACGGAAAATACTGGGACAGGAGAAGAAGCAAAAGTAATAACTAAGACAAAACGAGGTGAGCCACTCACCTCCCACTTTCCTTGTTGCCCCTGACAACAGGCGTATTGCGGCGAATCACGTGATATTCTCCCCTGCTTTCTCTCTTTCCTGCACATCCTTGCCTTCTCCCTGGTCAGACGAACTTTTTTTCTCCGCGGTTTTGTTTATACCCTCCACTGTATATTGTTTTTGCTTACTGTCACCCTAGCGGTCGCTCCCTTCTCCTTTCCCTCCGAACAACGCTTCTACGTGAATATGGAGTCTTCAAAGAAGATAACCATGGTGGAGAGAGAGAGAGAGCGAAGAGAAAAGGGGAGTACAGAAGAGCTACATAGAAGGGGGAGGGAAAATGGGGCATGGATACGCTGATTCTTGCCTCCGCCACGATTATGTGCTCTTTCACCCCCCCCCCCCCCGCACTTTTTATGTTGCTGTCACTGTACCTCTACTCAGTTGGCTAGCGCGCCGAGTGTGGCGAGCTAGTTCCCTATTTTTTTTTTCCTTTGGGCCACCCCACGCACCCTTCCCTACATACCCATCTCAATACAACCACCTTGTGCTTGTCTAGGAAGAAAAAGAAAAAAAAGGAAGTTCATGCGTTTATTTCCCAAGTCTCCCCTTCGGGACGGGCCCCAACAAGAGGGCAAGGAGGAAAGGGAATAAGGGGAAATAGAAAAAAATGGAGAGCCGGATGGAAAGACATTCGTCCACTTGTTGCTACACAGTTCCGCAACGCGAGAGGAAGGCAGTGCGGGCCACCAGCCGAACTACCAAGAGGCAGCCCCGCAAGTGGGGAACGACGCGACCTCGCTACGACGCAAGGTTAGGGAATGAAGGAATAAGTCATAATAATATCTTGACGATAGAAATGAATGTGAGTGAAACAATATACTAAAGGTATAACATCCGCAACCAAGCAGACACTGGAGGCGTAATCGGATAAAGATGAAACTTCTATCAAGACACTTCTCTATAAAAAGGCAGAAATATGGCGGCTCGTTCTTCCCTATTGCTCAATGTAGGAAATGAAGGGGCGTGACGCTGTCGCTTGTTTCTAGGCAACAATGCAGGACGGTTGGAAAAGAGAAGGAAAAGTATGCAGGCAACGGCGACACGAAAGATCGCAGGAATATAGGTACAAAAGCCATTCGCGTGGGTAAAGTTTTAGGGAAGATAAGGAAGCGAGTGAATGTGAAAGGTATAAAAAATCACCCGGAACAAAGCAGACACCGAAACCGTGCTATAGGATAAAGATCAAACTTCCAGTGGACACGTCTCAATAAAAGATAGAAAAAGTAGTTCGTTCTTCCCTTTTTTTTCATTGAGGATAGCAAAAGAGGAGCCTGACGTCGGTGCTTCTTTTCCCGTAAAGCGTAGAAAAATTCGGGAAAAAACAAAGGTATGCATGAACAACGGTAGCGCCGAACGTCGCAGCTGGAGCTATGGAAACTACATGGTATAAAAGTTGTCTGCTTGTGGAAAGCGAGTTATTTCGGGGGAATATGGGGAGAGAATGAAGATGGTGTGGAAGGTGGCGAGCGGGATATAAACATTGGACTGGAGAAAATTGAGTTAGAAAGGCACGAAGAGTGACGCGAGGCACAGCGCGACAAGAAGCTGGCGTGGAGAGAAAAAAAAAATCTCTGCAGGAAAATTGAGGATGTTTTTTTAGGGAGTCGGAACAGACAGACAAGGAGGCGTGGGAGGATAGGAAATGAAAAGGGAGAAGAGAAATGAAGAGAGAAAATGCATGTATAACGGCACTTTTCATTAAAGCCCGAAAAGAGGCAGCCAGTAGTTTAATGACGAAAACAAAAAAGAAGTAGGTTGATAAAACACCGTTTCATTCGAAGAAAGCAAGGGCGCGAAAGCAAGAAGAATGAGCGAAGGAATAGGAGGTGTGGAAGAAGTCGCAGCCTAAACGAGGCGCGAATACAGCGCAGCGTGTGGAAACGCTAAAACGTACCGTAGGTGGGAGAGAGAAAAAGGAAGGGGGTGTATTTGCGCATGAAATGACAGGCAACACGAACGTGCTCAAAGAGCACTCGAAATCCGGCATATATAAATATATATCTAGATATACACGCCCGTGAGCTATAAATATGTACATCGGGCTCGCTACTTGACAGGTGAGTTACGATTGCGAAAAGTACAGTAGACGGCATGTCTAAGAAGAGGGTGAGTAGTACTGAAGGAGAGGAAAATAAAAAAAAAAGACTGAAAGAGAGGCCCGGTGTTGGAACGACGTAAAGAGAGTGCCAAGCAAGGCGTGTAGCGATAAACGGAGGGGAAATCGTTGTTGGAGCGAAAGCGTCGAAGTGAAATAGGTTGTTCTAAAAAAATAAAAAAAGAGGGGAAGCCTATAGCTTCATATCGCTCCCCCTGCTGTCGACCTGTCTTCGTCGTCGTTTTGAACCCATACAGTCTCTTTGCTTCTCTGTTTCTTGAATCCTTGTGGGGCTTAGAGAGCGCAAAATGCAGCGAATGTAAGGATACAAAAGCCCCACATAAAGCGGGCAGCTGAAGCATTGGAGAAAGAGAGAGAGAAACAAAAATAAAGTAGTCATAATAACGGCAATGTCTAAAAAGAATAACGAAGAATAAGAGGTGCGCTTCGAGTTCTTTCATTTTTGATGGTCGACGTTGCCTCTAATTTATCTCTCGAGAAGCAAGACAGGCAACGCGGCAAAATGGGGCTCGTACACGACAGCATGCTGCTATATCTAGAAGGAAAAAAAAGAAGAAAAATCGAACAACCGAGTAACGAGAATGACAAAGTATTGTTCGATCGACAACGTCATTGAATTAAGGACTGAACGAAGTGGAGTTGACGTTTGATCGACGAGTAGCCGATTCCGGCCGACATTTAACGAGCAGCTGTTAACACTGACAGACATTTAGCCGCAACTAAGTCGCGGTTAGCCGACGTGAGCGAAATCTCGCTAACATTAGCTATATAGTGGTGGTAGTCTACGAGTAAATACAGTATCGGGTTAACAAAACCATGACCTCTACTTGAGACGTGCTCCAAAATAGTCGGAAGTTACTGCTGACATGATCGTGAACAGCAACCTCGTACACCACTAATAAAATGCGTGAACGGGGCTTGTGTACAAAGTGTCCTCAAAAGGACAGAGAATGGTAATTCTGGACAGGTGTTTGTTATAGAATGGGCTTCGCGTTGGAGGTCAGGCAAGTCTTTTCTTCGTACTCAATTATCTTCTTGAACAAGTCTGATCAACAAGTAATATTCCTTCAGTATTGAAATCCTCGCTCCAACTAGTATGGACGAGAAATATTGACATTTCTTCGAGGCTGAAATCCTTCATTGAATAAGTTTGACCGACAAGGAATATATATTTCGTTCAAACTAAATCCTGAAATAATTTTCTCAACAAGTCTGAGCCGCAAGCGATATCTTTTCCTCATAATAAAATCATTCCTTCTATGAGTATGAGCAAGAACTGACACCCTTTCTTCGTACCAAAATCCTGAACCCTCTTCTTTCAGCGCGCTTAATCGAGGAGTGACATACTTTCTTCGAATTGAAATCTTTTATTAAGTCGAAAGCCTTATATGTGTGACGAGGTTTATTTGGCTTTCAGCATCTTATTCGCGCATGTATCATCAGACGCGATATTTGACTGTCGTCGCCCCGCGACGAGTGAAAGAAACAACAAGAGCGT